AAATCAACACCGTGTGTTTAAAAATAAAATTAAACAAAAATACACGGTATTGAGAAAAAAAAAAAAAAACTGTGCCAGCATGCCATCATGCTTGCGTGAAATTTGCATCACTCGAGCTGCCATGATAATTTTCGTAATAACATTTTTTTTTTGGGGATAATAATGAATTGAAGCACATTGTTTTGAAAACTCTATCTTGAAATCAGGTAAGTAAAAAAAGTCTATCGAGACTTCATCCTGACCATACAGCTTTTCCCAAATCTTACTCATCAATCATGCATAATGCACGTCCGTACGTTTCACTAAATATGAAGCATACTAATAGAGGAGAAAATTGAAGGACATTTTTTAATTTTGACAACTTAAAAAATTTAAGAAAAATGGTAAAACAAGTTATCAAATTAAACACACAAATTTAAGACAACACTGTTCTTTTAGAGCTTAATAAGATATCTCAAGTTTGAGTCTTGAGAATGCAATTATCTTAAAACTTATGAGAGAGTATGTTATTGTCCTTTACGATCATTAATTAATTAGTTCTTCATGTAATTATTCATTAATTTGATTAGTTTGGCATATGGTGTGACATTTTTAAAACATGCAATGCTTAGAAGTTTTACAAATCATTAATAATGATCATAACTCATCACCATAATCAACAACCTTTGCCACTGTCAACTATCCTTCTTCTCCCGACAAGTTCCCACACTCTATCTGACAAAGCATTTGGGAGGATGTAAATTATGTTGACTCAATGATTCAACAAACATGACCAAATGTTGGTGCGCACAAAAGATATACCCACTTTGAACATAATCTCACACTGCCGCTGCCTGAGGTTTGAACCTTAATATAATCCTACTGAACCAGTAAGTTAAGCTCGTGCGGACACTATCAACTATCCTTGCCATTGTTGTAGTAGCTCAAATTCAATATTTTTTTTTTTTTTTTTTTTTTTACCATTGCGGGAAACAATCAAGCTCTACCATAACTCACAAAACCAAAATGAAGACAAGAAAAAGAAAGAAAGAAAGAAAAAAAAGTTTCGCATTATTCTTTTCTTGAATGCAACTGACTCTATTACATTGTAGTATCTGTTCAAACATACTTTCTCAACCTATTGAAACACAAAGAGCCAACAACTCCTCCACTGATACGTTGCCTTAATCTCACATTCTAGCTAGAGACAAAAGCGCTAGTTTGTTTATAAACTTTAATCAATATTTATATTATAATTTGTAATATTTTTTTGAAAACAATCAAAAGGAAATTAATTAATGAAAAAAGTGTTGAAAATACTTGGGAGAATAGACTCCCAAAATTTTGGACCCGATTGAGAATTAACTGTTTTTACAAGAGAATGAACAAACTGGCTCGTTGATCGCCGAACATAACAAGCATAACAATAAATAATCAAATTAATAAGACTAATACATTCGATAAGGGGGCAAGACCAATGTATAATATAAAAAGCAGGGTCATCTTTAGCTAGTGTCTATACTCTATACCACAAAACAATTTGAGAGCCCTCCGAAAGAAATCCAGAAAACCCTGCGGGAAGATGAGCTCGGCTTACTTGGCCAAACGAATGTTGTGAGAGTCAGATACTGACTACTGTATATCCTCCTCCTCCTCAGGAAAAAAAAAAATATAACTATACTTATTAACTAAGGGCTAAAAGCAAAAATAATAAAACTTGAGGGACTGATTTGGGAAAGCATGATATGTCCTATTGTCCTGCAATCGGTATACCCTACACCACGGCGTGCGTAGCACTGTGCATCGCGCGCCTCCCAAAAGGACGTCGTTTTGGGGTCGTTTTGGAAAGCGCGGTACGAAGTTGCTGTGATTATGTATATTTTTTACATAATTATGTATATTTGTTCATACAATTATGTATATTTATTCATACAGTTATGTACATTTTTTATACAATTATGTACATTCTTTTTATACAATTATGTACATCCGAATCAGAAAATTTGTGTGTATTATGTTAAGAGTTGATGTGTATTATGTTAAAAATTTGTGTTTATTATGGATTATGTTAGATTATGTGTATTATCTTTTAAAAAGAGTATGTACATTTTGTTATATAATTATGTACATTCATGTATACAATTATGTGTATTCTAGTATAACATTATGTACATTTTTGAACATAGATTTTTTTTTAAAAGAAAAATTAACTACCATACATTAGGGCGGGAAATTTCAAAAAAAAAAAAAAAAAAATTTAAAACGACGTCGTTTTGCATCTGGACGCACAGTGCAACGCGCGCCATGGTGTAGGATATAAATTGCCATTGTCCTGACTCATGAAGAAATCTCGGGCCAATGCCATTGGGCTAAATAAGCCTGTTTGGCCTGAAGTTTTCAGGCTCATATTGGAAACTTTAATTTAAAAAATTGACCCAAAAAAACCGTTTAATAAACATTCATTTTAATTGTTTGATTTAAAATAAGATGTTTTTCAATCATCAAATTTGTCTAATAATTAATAAACGAGTTCATCTCCTTTGTCCAAATCTATGGACAAACAAACATATGGACATTTAATGTTGTCAAAATTTTTATTAAGCTAATTTAGAAGTCAATAATCAATTTAAAACATCATACTTTGAAACTCTGTATCCCAAAAGGCCAAGTATGCTTGAGCTCGATATAGAATCACTAAAGTTTTTTTTTTTTTTTTTTTTTTTTAAGGATGTGTTTAGAAATTCAGAAAATGATTTTCAAAAATCATTTTAAAAATTTTTGGTGTTTGGCTAGGTAGGGAAAAGAGAAGTCAAGGAAAATGACATGTAGTCAATAGAAAATAACCTCTCTTTTTCGGAATTTTCCATTCTTTGGTTCTCTCCTCCTATGGCCAGAGAAGCTCCGCCTCTATCAACACTCCACCAACACCGATTGCACCAACAATCCCACAACCAGAAAAACTCCACCAACAAATCTCCACCAACACTAGAAAAGTTCACCGGTATGTTTCATCCTTTTTTTCAGTTTGATTTTTTTCTCCAAATCTGACAGATCTATAACTCTATAGTTATTTTCCGGCAGTGGGTTTGGTTTTCAGTTTGGTTCGCTATAGTTTTTTCTCCTCACTGGTTTCTGGCTCAGAAAGCAAAGAGCGGAGAGCCTTTTTTTTTTTTTTTTTTTTTTTTTTTCCATTTGTTAATTAGTTCGTCGAGGAGTTTTGTTCAGCATTTAGTTCTTGGTACATGGTTGTGGAATTCCCATTTTATTGTTCTATGTATCTATGGTGTTTGTTTGATAGCTCATAACTAAGTTAGCAAGTTTTGTGTTGCTTCCGTTTGACCGACTATGCATTTGATTTTTCACGACTTCCATGGACAAGTATATAATTATGTTCATTTTCTAGAAAATGAATCAAACACACAAAGACAGTTTTTCATTGTACAGTCAAACACCAGAAAAGAAAATATTTTCAAGAAAATGACTCATTTTTCAAAAGTCCAAACCGACCCTAAATACAAACATTGTAATAATAAGCATTTTACATTCAAATACATCTTAATAAAACTCAACATTCATACCAACCATAGCAATTTTATAAACATAAATATACTCCGTATTAGCTAACTTTGTAATATTATATTTATATTATACATAACTATATATATATATAAATAAAACTTGATTAGACTCATGAACTACTTGAGTCGAGCACTAAGAGCATCATCATCAGCTATGCATTTTATACGGATTTTGAAGTGCCACTAGAAGAAAGAAGAGAGAGAGAGAGGGAGGAAAAAGAAAAAAAAAAAAAAAAAAAGGAGGTCTAGCGCTAGGAAAAAAAAAAAAAAAACACAGACCAACACACACACACCAGCAGGCGCCGCGTCTCCAACACGCGAAGAAAAGCATTATGCTTTGTTTTCATTTCTCAATCAATAGGCCTCACAAAAGTTTTGCACTTGCCGGAGAACAATACACCAAAAAACCCTATCTCCCATTTATGCAAAAACTACACTTAGTTTTTACTATTCCAAAAACCCACAAAAAATGCATTGGTGTAGATGCTCTAAGAGGCTCAAATTCAACTCAATGCTCAAGCTTAACTACATAGTAACATTCATTTCTTCGTCAAACCGAATGTAAATAATGGCTTAACTCATATATACCCCTAATTTGACATCTTCAAGCATACCCGTCAATTATGTTTAAAATAAATAAAGTAGGGCAGATATTTTGTGGCATAGTAAGTGAGGGGCATTTGGCAAAGATTAAAGATTGGCCAACAAATCTTTATTCACTACAACAAGTAATCAAATAAAAAAGTGATTAGGTCACTGGTTGGAGCAGATTGAAGAATAAAAAAATGGCTTTGCTTCAAGAGTGGGTAATACTAAATACAAGTGAGTTGGCAAGTCTTTTAAAAAGGGCAAACAAGGCTTAAAGAGACAGCCCATCCCACATGTACCTATTCTCCCAATTATATCACACAACCTGCTAAATATCTCTGCCTGCTAAGATCCACCCATAGTTTCATCAAAGATTCCAGGTACCCTTTCTCACTTTCTTTCACTAGATCTATGCTAAATCCCTCTGATCTTGAGGTTTTTCTGTCTTTTTTTTTTGAAAGTTTTTGTGTTTTTGCAGGTGATAATGGCTGCAGAGGGACCAAGCTGGGCAGATCAGTGGGGGGCAGGGGGGATTGGTGCAATGGATGAAGAAGACAACACTAAGGTTAAAGAAGAGAGCAAGAAGAAGGAAGGCTCACAGGGAGGTCTTGGGAAAGCTAAAGCTGTGGCAATGGCAGGTGCCCAGAAGGTGAAGAATGGCACATCCATGGGGATCAAGTGGGTGAAGAACAAATGCCAGAAGAAAAACAACACTTCTTCAGCCTGAAGAAACCTGTGCTCAAGATTTCAAGAATATGATTGGTTTAGTGTAAATTATTGTTTTCTTGAAAGTTGAAAATTCTGATTTCTGTGATCATATGCATAATCAAGAATTCAAGATCCACACAGCACAGATATGAATATATGATACCCAGAAGCCAAAAAAGACACATTAGGTCTGTGCAAGCAAATGTAGCTTTCTAAGAAATCAAGAGTGAATCCATTTTTTGTCGTTTTGAGTTGATTTACAACGGTCCATATCGAATTGGTCCTTTTTTTTTTAATCTTCTAAAGCAAAGGATTTACAGTTGTGAGTTTCCATGTAGAGTTTATTAACCTTCTTTCTAGCTAGTCGCACCCGAAGGTGTTCTCCCCGCTGTAAGTCATGTAAAGGAAGCCATCTTCATCCTTGTGCTCCTCGTAAATTGCAGACATCAATGCAGCTGTAAGTACAAAGAAACATTAACGAACAACCAAGAACTATACACAAGACCTGAGAAGACTCTAATTGATCTGTGTTATAAACTAAAATTGAGCTAGGGTCACTCAACTGGACTATAATGCAAATGGGCAAAATCACAACCAATTAGCAAGTTTAACCCATGACCTTATAAACCAATATGATCTCCCTTATTTCATACAATCTGTACTCACCGGTTGGTGGCAGCATGTTCTTAACAAAGACAAATATTGCCTTCTCGGCGCTGAGCTTGATCCTTTTTCGAACAACATACACAAACTGGCCAACAGTCAGGTCTGCGGGAACAAGGTATCTAGCACCCAAAAAAAGTGAGACATTATTAGTGGAATGGACACAAATATGGCAAAATTTTATGAAAATTGTGAATTGTAAGTCAATAGGATAATAAAACCAGTTAGAGTATTTGACAAGTGGCAACATAATCGAGAAATATTTTGCATTAACTCAATACGTTTTAGCCTCTAAAGAGCTAAAAGTCATTTAGTGCAAGAAAACTAACATCAATCTGCATGGCTATAAAAACATCTTGCCGGAGATGTTGAAGGAACTTACTTTTTCTTGTCGATATCAGGAATGTCGCTCCTTTCTGCTTTTTCAACAATCACCTGAATGCAGAGAAAGCTCGTGAGAGAAAACATAACAGAAGCAGGAAACTAGAAGTATTAATAAGGGATTATTCTTACGGGAATTCTTTCAGGATACTTCTCCCGGATGCGAGTAGATTCTGACTGCCTCCTCTCTTAACAGATAGATATTAAAAATTCAGGTGACAAAGTTCAACGCTAAGCACATAAATATTAAATCATGCATTCAAGAGTAAACATTTCACAATTTTCACATAATTAGGCACCAAGAATGGAAAGATTCTGATTGATGTCCCATTAAAATTTCCAAGAACTGACAGCCATGGAACAACTCAAATTGAGAAAATAATCAGTTAATCAGTTTACACTCCCATATTAATCAAAAGAACTGTTCAGACCAACAATTTACATTGAGCTTCATAATCATCAAATACCTAACAATTTCAACCAAGCTAGCTTGATGATCTTAAAAATAAAAATCACATAAACCTCAAGATGGAAACAAAAACTATGGGCAACCTAGGCTGCCGGCTAGGGTCAAACGGCACACTCTCTGGAAGTGGCTACAGGTTTCTATCGTCATCCAAAAAAAGAAACAGAAACTACATGCCCTGATCTTAGCAAATCCAACCATTCATTCAGTTGTGAATATGCTAGTTTTTTCAACAAGATTACCAAGAGCCTCTAACCACACCTATAATCACAGCAGAGTATACAAACTTTTCCTGCAATTTCCAGCTCAAACTAAATTCAACTATAATTCCAATTGCAGTCCCATAAACAGATAAACACACAACACAAAGACACAAAAACAACATAATAAGCATTAAGCCAATTAAAACCAGAGCACCACATACCCAAACTTGACTAAAGAACTTATTTATCCCTAAACACACAACATGAGCATATACTGATACAAGATTACAGAAAGGAATAAAAGAACACGACCATCAGGTTATAATTACAGAATTATGCATTGAATATTTGAACTGGGAAAGGCAAAGGGAGAAGAACATGTACCCAAAGGATGATCAAACTTGAAGCTCTTAGCCATGGAAAGACTTGAACTTTGACCTCTCTCTGCAAATTTAAGGCACCAAAGAAACATCAAAATCTATGAAAAACCACTTTTATCAACAAAAAAACTCAGAAACCATTTCCTCCTATTACCCAACAACAGAAAAACCTTCAAACTTGCGGAAGACGATAATTGATGAGAAGAATAAGTTTTGGGTATTCCGTATTCCAAAAAGTTATGATTGAGAAGGGGTTATAAGGATGAGAAACGCTAAACTAGGTTCCTGAATGCTCACGAAATCAGGAGAGTTTGGTTCGGCAAGGAAACTCTGAATATACGATTTTTATTTTTATTTTTTATTTTTGCCGGGAAAAAGGGAGGGGTAGATGGGTATTGGGTAGTAATATGCTCTAATGAAATTACGCTTTGCCCCTCAAATACTGGATTGGTAACATATAACCGCACGTAACTCCCTTTGATCTTGGTTTAGACAAATAAGTCATTTGACTTCTTAATTTTTTTTTTAATAACCCAGATTTTCCAATTTTTGCTGCACTATGAGCCTATTTAGCAATCTTATATCTTATTTTAATTTACTAATAAACTATAAGCTTTGTTTAGTAATATTTCCAAAATAAGCTCGTAGTTTAAAATAAGAGCTTATTTTGAAACATTACCAAACAAAGTTTATAGCTTATTAGTGAGTAGTTATGCTGTGCATCCGTATGCACCATCGTATGCACCATGCATGGTGCATACGGATGCAAAAACGACGTCGTTTTATTAAAAACACGCGTCTCCTTTTAAAAAAAATCCAGGCTCGATTCCCAGCAACAACATTATGTTGTTCATTCATTCTGGAATTTTAGTTCATAGATTATGGAATTTTAGTTCATTGATTCTGGAATTATAGTTTATCGATTCTGGAATTGTAGTTCATCGATTTTGAAATTTTAGTTCATAGATTTTGAAATTTTAGTTCATTCATTCTGGAATTTTTAGTTCATAGATTAGATTCTGGAATTTTAGTTCATATGTTGTTGCTGGGAATTGAACCTGATTTTTTTTTAAAGGGGAGACGCGCGTTTTTAATAAAACGACGTCGTTTTTGCATCCGTATGCACCATGCATGGTGCATACGGATGCACAACATAATTTGCCCTTATTTAGTAGTTCAAAATAAGAGTTTATTTTGGAACGCTATTTTAGTTAGCGTTTCAAAATAAGCTAGCAGCTTCCTAACTTTTTTTTTTCCATCTTTGTCCCTATTATTTTAAATTTTAAATAAATGACATTCTTTACCATTCTCAATTAACATCATTTTCTTTCTTCTTTATCCATAACTTTCATCGCAATTATAGGATTCTAGATCATGATTATGGTAATAATTTTATTTTAAAATGTTAATTTTTTGAAGACAAAATGTTAAAGTTTAATATGTAAACAAACTAATTTAAATTTTATGAAGATGTCCTTTTTTTTTGTCTTTTTACATTTATCAGCTTATCAAAAAGTTAATTTTACCAAATTCTTTCAAGCATAACAGCTAACTTAATAGCTCTTCAACTTTAACTCCAGTTTATAACTTTTCAGCTTTCAGTTCATTTTAAGCTTTCACACAGCTAAGTTCGCCAAACATAACCTATATCCTAAACCAAGGAATCCGCATACCAAGCCATGAGGTCATAAGTCCATTTTAAAAAGGTTAGTCTTAGACTCAAAAGGGGTGAACGAGAGAGTAGGACATAATTTTCGTATTAGAAGATTGCATATTTGATTTTTGCCAACTTTGTCTTGATCGAGCCTATTGCATTTGATTTTCATAATACTTTGAGCGTGTAGGCGTGTATCAACCATCGCCTGTAATAGGAAATCACATTTTTTTTGTCTGTACGGGCTTAGCTCATTGGTTCAGTAGACAATATATGATAGAAGAGACTAAAGTTCGAACCTTGACAATATTAGTGTGAGGATTTTGTCCAGAGTAGACTGATTCCTTGTACGTACCGATATATGTCTCTGTCTGTTGAGCTATTGAATTATCGTGATGTGCATCATTTCAAATGCTATGTTGGGTCAGGATTTTGAAGGTTGAACCACTTAAGAGAAGCAAATCACATATTTTTATTTTATGAGAACAATACGGATTTGTTCTAAGCCGTGGCCGCATAGCCTAACTTTTACTCTGGAAAAGCTTAATCTAGAGGTACACTCTCATATTTAATTTATTACGATTTATAATAGAGTAAATTTTATTTTTGGTCCTACTGTTATAGGGGCATTTTTAATTTTAGTCCACTTTAATTTTTGTTTGCCATTTTATAACCACTATTATTGAATGTGTTCCACTTTTAGTCCCACCGTTAGTATTTCCATCAAGAGGCCGTGTAATCTAGGGGTATTTTAACATTTCTTCGCATCCAAGACTATGTTTGACTAAAGAAATGAGAACATTAAACCTAAAACCTAAGAAACTTCGCCGGCCCATGTTGGAACGAACGAAACGATGTAGCTTTGGCTTCCCATTCTCGTTGTTCGAAGAGCCATCTTCGAATATCGGAGGAGGAGGACGAAGCGCCTGGATTAAAAGAGAAGAGACAAACATAAAAAGACCAAAATACCCTTTGATTATACGGCCTCTTGACAGAAATATTAATGGTTGACTAAAAGTGGAACACATTCAATAACAGTAGTGATTGTAAAGTGACAAAAAAATTAAAGTGGGCTGAAATTGGAAACGCCCCTATAACAGTAGGACCAAAAATGAAATTCACTCATTTATAATATAAGAGTAGTACATTTTTTACTTTTTACTCAATATTTATATCTATTAATGTGACATATTTTAATTGATTCATAACAAAAAAAAAAAAATCATAACTAGTTTTATTCATTTTCTTTTGTTTTCATAATAAAAATTAAAACATGGGGCAATAATTTTACTCTAAAAAGCACTGTTGAAAAAATCGTGCCTAGGTGCCGATTAATCGGAGCCTAGGCGCTAGGTGCCCGGCCTCCTAGGCGGTCTAGGCGCCCGCCTAGGCGTTCTAGGCGCCCGCCTAGGCGCTCTAGGCGCCCTAGGCGGTCCCCAGGCGCCTAGCGATTTTTTCAACATTGCTAAAAAACATGGTTGCAATAGGCGCTAGGCGCTAGTCGGGCGGTAGAGTAGCGCCTAGCACCTAGACGGCCTAGGCGGGGCCTAAGCGGCCTAGGCGGTCGCCTAGGCGGCTAACTGAAAAAATGAAAAACAGTGCACGTGTGTAGGTGCATATATGTCATATTATGCATACATACATACATATAGACATAGGTGCATATATGTCATATTATGCATACATACATACATATAGACATACATATATATATATATATATATATATATATATATATATATATATATATATATATATATATATATATATATATATGTATATATATATATATATATATATATATATATATATATATATGTGTGTGTGTGTGTGTGTGTGTGTGTGTGTGTGTGTGTGTGTGTGTGTGTGTGTGTGTGTGTGTGTGTGTCATATAAATGAAAAAAATTAGCAAGGTCGAGTCGGCCGGGTTAACTCGGCTAACTCGACAGAACTTGACGAGTTAACTCGGTGTAATCGGTCGAGTCGGCCGGGTTAACTCGGCTAACTCGACAGAAATTGATGAGTTAACTCGGCGTAATCGGCCGAGTTAGGCGCTAGGCGGCCGAATTAGGCGCTAGGCGGGCGCCTAGGCGGCCGGTCTCCTAGGCGGGAGCCTAGGGGAGAAATCGCCACGGCCTAGGGGCGCCTAGCGCCTAGGCACCGATTACTCGGTTCCTAGGTGAGATTTTTGCAACCCGTACAATTACAATGCCCAACTAACCAACATCCATACTTTTACTTTCACATCCAACATCGGAGAGTGCTTAACAAATGAAGATGAAGCTTGGGCTATTATGAATGGTCTCAGGCTAGCTGGGGATAAAGACTTTACTAAGGTACGGTGTGTGTGGAGAGTGATGTTAAAAGAATTATCGATTATCTGAATCAGTATGGTAAAGAGATTTGTGTCATGGCCCGCTAGGTAATATATCTTGGGGGTATGTCGACAGTGGATTAAGAAGGATTGGCAAGTGTGGACTGTCCATATTTTTAGGGAGTAGAGAATTGAGTGGCTAACTGATTGGCCAAGCAGGCGCTAGGCCAACCGAGGGGTTTACGTGTGTGGTTTCAACTGACAAAGAAGATATTGGGTTGTTTTTGAATGAGATAGATGTCTTAGGGGTTTCTCAGACACGCTCTATTCCTAGGCTAAAAGTTAGGGTTTTCCCCTCCTTCCGATTAAAATTAAAAAAAGGAAGGTACACTTACCATCTTTCATAATATAATTGATTAATTTATGAATTCTCAATGACGTAACATTTATTTTGTCAAAAAAAAAAAAAAAAAAACAAACAAACAAACAAAATGACATAACATTTATTTCAAAATGACACTCAAAACACATTCCATGCTCCCTCATGCTCCCTCACATTTCAAAATGACACTCAAAACACATTCCTTGCTCCCTCATATTTGTTCATATTGATTTGAGATAAGTGTGGATGACAACCGGCTAATTGTGTATTCACACATTTAGTTATTCTTGAACTCTAATATATATGGGATATATTTAAAGTTACTAAAATCAGATGAATATTACTAGTACATATTCTAAATCTCTTTGACATCACCTGCAAGGTATCCTAAGTCTCGAACCGTATTTAATATAATTATTTCTGGATCAAAACGAGAGAGAGACCCAATAATAAACAACGCTAAGATTGAATTCTCGAGACAACCCTCCTTAATTGGGGAACACCCAAAAGATCATCTTCCATATCAGAATTCGTCTTCAAACAACCTATCATTAGACTATATATACACAATATATCATGTAATAGATTTTCACTACTAGTTAAACCTGCTTATCAATTACATACCCAAACCTGTCATATTAAGATTTGAAAAGATCAGTACAAAATTACTCGTCTCGTTGCAATCCGTAATGATTTCAATCCATCCTCCCTTATCCCCAACGACATATGTTTTGGATTGATTTGAGATAAGAATTCAACTCTTATCACCGTACTCATCATTTATATATGATCATAACAAAAAAAGTTAAATAACTTAGGAAGGTATAAATAAAATTATACGAGTCTCTTCCAAATTAATTAGAGATCTTACTTGGTACGAAACTACAAATATAATTAATTATTTTAGGTGTATATGTTGTCTAGGATTAAGTTATGAATAAATGAAGTGAAAATGGTAGGAATTATCGTTAATACGGCTC